ATGTGACTCGCTGACGCAACATTATATTTAATTTTTCGATAAATGAATATAATTCAGTATAATTCTCGATAATGTTTGTTTTAAAATCCAACATTGGAGTTCATTATGTTTATGATTCTAAGAAGTTATGATTTAAAGTAAAGAAAAAGGTATAACAATATGTCAAAATACTAGATTTGCTATATCCAGTGCCGACGAGGCTTTTCACATAATACCAGAACTCATTAGTCCGGCTGGGATACAGCAAATATAGTAGAGGTTTTAACGTCGAAAGCCAGAGAAATATTGGAAAACCAATAGGCTCAACAACTGTTATGAAAAATATTTTAACAGTTAAGATGCTATTAATTTTATGAAATTCTATAGAAAACATCTTTTATGGTGCGAATTAGATAAAGCTGGTGAAATATTTCTTATATCGTCATTAATGGGCGTTAGAAAACCTTAAGTCATTACAGCATATGTTTGATATTTTGAGGCATATTGTCTTTCATGAAATAACTAATCCAATATAATACTACTTTTCTCTTCTTTTTTTGTGTTCATTATCGAAACTCGAGCTGTCAGTTTCTCGAGGCTGTGTACTAAGCCTACGACTCATTTGCGGACCTCAGTGTAATTTTATAAAACATTAGTTTTCAGGTAGTTAAAATAATACTTATTCATTTTTGTGGTGTTTCATACTTTTTATGAATTATAAATTATTATTATTATTCGTATGCTTTTACTAATATTTCATTACATTTTCTTATTCTTCAATTTTGTTAGTCCTATTCAAGTTACAACGTAATAATTATTATTAATAAGACTGTAAGTTGTAACTGTAAATTAATGCAGGAACTGCTATTACTTAAAGATTTAAAACTAAAAGCAGCACATCTTGACTTAACCAGATTTGCTAGTTTGGGCTTATTCTAACGTCATATTGTTAATAATAATAGTATTAGTATTACTAATATAATTAGTAGTATTTATAAGAATGACTAGCGTATATCCCGTCAAAAATGACGGGGCAAGAACTACCACGCCTACCCCATAGTATACCCTAACCCCACATTTCATAACTAACTGAAATAAATATATTTTGCGAAATCAAACTTGCCCAACAAAGAGGTTGAAAAGTGCAGTCGAGGCAGTCAAACGTCGGTAAATTTCTCTGTGAGCCAATCAAAATTAACATCATTCGTGGAATAATTATTGGTAAAAATCATTTACTGAGTTAGTGTACTGAAACAGTGAAAGTATAAAATGAAATGTATAGACAACAAAACTGGATAAATATTTGTTGATTTCTTAACTTAGAGTCTCCTTAGATTAAAGTGTTTTGTTTTTTATTAAAAACGTTGGTTATATAATAGAAAACAGCCTAATTCAGAAACAATGTAAGTTTAAAATTGAATCAGTATTTATACTTTCATGATAAATTTTATGCTCTAGGCCAGGTGATCCCACACTATTTATTTACTTTAGGTTTATTATATCAATACCCACTACACATGTACGGTTTTACAGCACCATCCCTCACAGTTTCTTTACACCCAGTCACAAATATTGTAATTTGCAGACAGTAATCGAACTGTTCTTTCTGGATAAATGCAGTTTGGCTTTTATGAATCCTCCTATTTCAAGAAATCAAGTGTGATGTGACACACACTGGTTTTTATATAGGTTAGATTTCTTGTTTAGAAATTTAACTGAAACAGCTGATAATGATTTTTAATGTATAAATTAAAACAGTTGAAAGCAAGTGTTTCAGTGACAATTTCAGTTTCATTGTCTTGTGAGTCATTGCGAGTATGTTTGATAATGATAGGCTCGTTTAGTTTTATGTTATAAACAGTGTAAGTCACTAACAGTGTATAGTAATACTGGTACAGTGGTAGAAAATTGTGTATAATAATAATAATAAATTCATCACAGGTGAGATGTATGAATAGAAAATAATATGAAACATCTAATATTGTATTAATTACATGTATACATATGATGTGGACAATGATGGATCATTTGATCCTTCAACTTCAAGACTTTCCTTGCACACCCACCATTTATATTTAAGAAATTGTTTATTTTTTACTTTAAATCTTGGGTAGGATAGTCTGTGGGGTAAACAGGGAGAAAAGAATTAGATTATGCTATCGAGAAGCAGGGGTGGAGAATACAACTGAGAGAGAAAATTATATAGTAAAGGGTGATATTAGTGATGCAGTCTTTGTAATAGACATAGGGGTTAATGATGTAGGGAAGGGTAGGTGAGAGTATTTTATTATTAAGTACAAGACATTAATGAAAGCATTCAAAGAAACGAGCCATAATAACTTAATTCTGTTAAGGATATTTCCAAGACTTAATTGTAGGGATGAAATTGTAAGTAGATCACTAGGACTGAATGCTATGCTAATTAATATATAAGGAAGAGCAGGTTGGCTGGATAAATTTGTGGGGTCAGTTCACTGGGAAAAGGGAGCTTTTTTAGAATGGTTGGTTTACATTTAAATAGATAAGGGCTGGTTTGTTTGCAAAGGCTATTAACTATAAGGGCAACTTTAAACTAAGAATAGACAATGGAGAGGACCAAAATGATGGAAAAATGAGATGTAGTGAGGAGTATAATGTGTAAGCAAGATAGTTTTAATGGTAGGCTAAACTGTTATTATTGTAATGCCAGAACTATAACAAATAAAATGGATGACTAAGAGACTGGTCAAAACAGATGATTTTGATATAATGGGAATAACTGAAACCTGGCTAAATGTAGAAGATTTTGATAACAGGAATTACATGGTTATAGGTTGTGTTATTCCTCTTTTCAAGAGAGGTTTTAAAAATTGTCCCAGTAATTATAAGTCTATTATTGTTACGCTAGTGGTGGGAAAAGTTTTTGAAAGTTGTGATAAAAGATGCTCTGCAAAGTCATTTAACAGAATTTGAAATTTTGTTGGATAGCCAGCATGGTTTCACTAGAAGAAAATCTTACCTTACCAATCTTTTGAAGAAATTAATGCTTATGTAGGTGAGGATACAGATGTAGATTTGGTATATTTGAATTTTCAGAAAGCATATGACAAGGTGCCACATAAAAAGCTTGTTAAAATAGTTATTGCTGTAGGTGTGGGGGATAGGTTTACTATTGGCTAATTGAAGAAAGCAGAAGGCTGTTATAAATGGAGTTCAATCAAGCTGGATTGATGTAATTAATGGGGTACTTCAGGGCTTAGTGTTAGGAATTTAAATCATTGACTAGATAAAGGAATGGTGATTAAATTACTTAAAATTACTGATGATACTAAGGTCTTCGGTGTTGCTGGCTGTGGGGAAGATTCTGCTGCTTTACAAAAATAATTGGATTATTTGATGAGTTTGACAAATAAATGGAAGATGACTTTTGATTGTAATAAATGGATTTGCTGTTTTGAATTTAAATCATTGACTAGATAAAGGAATGGTGATTAAATTACTTAAAATTGCTGATGATACTAAGGTCTTCGGTGTTGCTGGCTGTGGGGAAGATTCTGCTGCTTTACAAAAATAATTGGATTATTTGATGAGTTTGACAAATAAATGGAAGATGACTTTTGATTGTAATAAATGGAAAATAATGCATGTGGGATATCACAATTTGAATTATGAATATAATTTTGTTGGGTATAACCTCTACAATCTTATGGAAGTAAAAGATCTTGGTGTTCTTGCTGATCAGTCTTGTATAAGCCATCCAATTAACGTGCTGTTGTTAAAGGCAGGGCAGATAGGATTTTAGATTGTATCTCCAGAAGTATTGAATACAAGCCTAAAGAGGTTATAATGTCATTGCATAGTTTATTGGTTAAGCTACATTTGGAGTACTGTGCTCAGTCTTGGACTTCTTACCTTAGAAAGGACCATGAATTGTTGTAAAGGGTTAAGAGAAGGGCTATTAGGATGATACCTTGGATGAAAAGTTTGTCATGTGAGGATAGGTTAAGATTTCTGAGCTTTTCTCTTGAAAATAGAAGAGTTAAAGAATATCTGACATTTAGTATTGTTAAGGGAAGTGACTGTGTTAATGTATCACTTTTTTGTACTTAATGGTGAGAATGGGAGGAGTAGGGGACAAAGTTTGGTAGGGTAGGAGTCATCTTCAGCTAAGACAGTTTTATTTTTCTAACATGGTGGTTAGTCTTTAGAATGGGTTTCCTTTAGGCGTGGTGGATGCAGTAAATGTTAGTGAGTTTAAGAGAAGGCATGATAAATATTTAGATGATAAGAGCTGGCTTTGAATTTTTTTTTTCAAAGTTTTTTCAACCCATGAGCTTGTATATTTATTTAATAAGTATTTAGTGAGCCAGATGATTTTTGCACTGAAGCTGGTAGAGAGAGATAATTATTTCTTTTCACTTGTAAATAGTATGTCTGTCAATGCACTCTATAAAATTCCATTAGCTTTATTTCGAACAATACAGCACTGTCTCAATTGCTTGAGTGATTTAACCACTACTATACCATGCTTCTTTTCTTCAGTTATGTTATTGAGTGAGCTACCAACTTTATTGAATGTGAACCCAGTTATTTTAATGCAAATGTATTACCTTGCACATACTATAGTTAAAATAATTTGCTTGGTCCCCTTAGTAATAGCCTCTAGATGGCCAAGGGTAACTTTCAACCACCATGAATGCTAATAAGGAGTGTATCAACATGATTTCATAATTTTACATAAAATAAACAATGATCTATTTAAAAAAACATTAATCTGAAACTGCATGGTACCATTCTTAGACTGTTTGGTACTCCTGAGGAAGAAACATTTCTTATATGCCATGTCTTCAATGGCCTGTGAATTTTACCAAGACCAGGAAGGTCCAAGGAACATATGGTATACTTCTTGGTATATTTTGCATAAAATTTATGAAGTCATGTTGATATACTGATTATCAGCCTTAGTAATGTCCACAGATGGTTGAACTCAAGCCATGGACGATTATGGACAGTCATTGGTGGTTAAGAGTAGGGCTGACTTACCAGTAAATTCAAGTCTTTCTGTAATACTTCTACATTCTGAATACAGCTAGAAATGCTCAAGAGTTTAATGTTGCCAGTGAACTTTACAAATTTACTAGTTATGCCCCTATCAGTATCATCAATGTTAGAAAAATTAAAGGCCTAAGAATTGACCCTGAGGCACTCCACTAGTAACAATGATCCATTTGACTAGAATCTATTAATAACAATTGTTTGCTGTCTCCCATCCAACCTCCTATATTCCAATTAACCAGAAGAAAACTTTAGTCATAAAACAGAGGTTGATATCTCTGGAAGGAATAATTAAATACTTTCTCCAATGAAAGTAATAATGGGAATTAAAATATTTATTACTCTGAAAAGTATTATCATCCACATAATCTGCTGACAGTTTGAGAAGGCGTGCTTTACATAATTGCATATAGTGAAGTTTTCTGATGGTCAATTTCAAGTCATCTATTATACTTTAAAGTAGGTAACTATTCAGATTTTAAAATAAAAGTACCACCTTATGAAACAATTATCAGACTCAGAATTTCCTAAACCAGGCTTCATTCTAGAAGTATTCAGTAAAGGCTGTGTTTAACTTAGTATCAACCCTTTGTGCACAGGTGGGATCAAAATGTGCATGTCATGACTTT